AAAAGATCATTTTTCTCTTTTAGAAGTGATATATGATTACAGTGGAAAATTGAGAAAATACATATAATTAATATAATTAAAAGTCATCTGTTCTTTCATCACCCAGAAAGAACATTGTCAACATTTCAAAACATTTTCTAATTTCTTTCTCTATGCATCTATCTGTTTTTCACATCAAGGGGAGCGTACCATATGTTCTGTTCTTTTAATATGCCTCTTAAAACAAAGTAATAGCTTATAACTATCTTTCCATGTTACAATCTAACCCCAATAATTTCATTCTATGAGAGACCTGGTATTTATTGAAGAGACTTATCTTCACTTATTAAACCTCTTTTCAGACATTAAATTAGTAGTTGTTTTCAGTGTTATGAGTAAGGCCTAATAAACCTTTTTGGTTCAATAGTATGTCTTTGACTAATTATGTAGGGGAAAAAATACTAGGAGTGAAATTGCTGGGTGAAAACATCCTCTAGCCTGGTAATTCTCTAGCATTCAGAGTTTGTTCTGGGATATATCCATGTCACTGGGGAGCTCTGCACCACTGCAGTGAAGGGGTTTTGAGCATCATTTTTGGAATCAAACACCCCAGGTTTGAATCCTAACTTCACCACTTACAAAATATGTGACCTTGAGTTGTTTTCATTAACTTTTTTAAAAAAATTATATGTTGTTTGCATACAAAATTTGTATACATTATATATCATCCATATACACGGCATTTCACTTATTCCTTCATTCACATCGTGTTTCAAGAGATCTCGTAAGTTGTTGTTGTTATATGCTATCAAGTCACCTTCGGCTGATAGTTACCCTATGTACAATAGCTCTGAAGCCTGTCCTATCCTAAGGCAATCTCTTTGTCCCCGACACACCTACTCTTCATAACTTCAGTTCCTGCATTAATCCATCTCATTCAGGGTCTTCCTCTCCTGTGCTGTCCCTCCACCCTTCCAGGAATGATGTCTTTCTCCAAGGACTGACCCTTCCTGGCAACATATCCAAAGTATGTAAGACAAGCGTCAAAATCCTGGCCTCCAAGGAGGAGCTTGGTTTTACCCTCTTCAGGACAGATATATTTGTTCTCTTGGTAGTCCATGGTGTGCTCAATGTTCAGCTCTTCTCAAGTACCACAACTCAAAGGCATCATTTCTTTTCAGTTATCCTTAATCATCGTCCAGCTCTCTAATGCATACCCAAGGAACTGTGAAGATCATGGCTTGGATCAGGTCGACCTTGGTCTCTAGACTGTCATCATTGTCCAGCTCTCTAATGCATAGCCAAGTAACTGGGAAGATCATGGGTTGGATCAGGTGGACCTTAGTCTCTAGACTGTCATCATTGCTCTTCAACGCTCTGGAGAGGTCACTGACAGATTTTTCCCAATGCAATTAGTCCTTTGATTTCCTGACTACTGGTGCCAAGAGTGTTGATTGTGGAACCAAGCAAGCTGAAACTGTTTAGAAGCTGAATCTCTTCTCCATTTATCATGGTGCTGCCAATTGGCCCAGTAGTGAGAATCTTTGTGTGTTTTTTTTTAATTTTATTATTTGTGTGTGTGTGTGTACCGTCAAATCAGATATGACTGGTACAGGAGGAGATTGCCCCTCCTTCTCCAGCAGAGCATCTGGTGGATTTGAACCATGCGCCTCTGGGATTGCAGTGCAGCTTCTTGCCACTAGGCCACCAGAGCTCCCTAGAATCTTTGTGTTCTTAATGTTGAACTTCAATCCATATAGAACATTGAAGTCCTTTACCTTCTGCACCAAACGCCTCAGGACCTTTTCAGTTTCAGGAAGCAAGGTTGTGTCATCTGCATAACGCAGGTTGTTGATGAGCTTTCTCCAATCCTGATGCCACATTCCTCCTCATAAAGTCCATCCTCCTGAATGATCTGTTCTACATATAGATTGAAAAGGTATAGCAATAGGATGCATCCTTGATGCACACCTTTCCTGCTTTTAAACCATGTAATGCTTCCTTGTTCTGTTCAGATGACTGGTCAGATACTTTGTGTTTTATAAAATTGATCACCATTGATCTATGCTGCTATTACCCCATCTTTTCAGGTCTGCAATGGAACGTTTCTAATTTTTTTTGCTAACCCCCTCTTCATTCACCAACTCTTGTTATTCCTATAGTCTAGTGATGTCCTCCCTTCTCAACCCTCCACTCCTGTTCCTCTCCCCTTCCCTTTTTGGACTTTTATACACATCTTACTGGTTATCTTTCTATTTAGTAAATGGTCTTATGCAGTTATTTGTTCTTATGAGACTGGGTTCACTCAGCATAATGCTCTCTAGTATTTTCCAAGAAATGTGGAGGAGAGCTTCTGGCCATTGGATAGGAAAGAGGTCCATAATTATTCCCATTCCCAAGAAATTCCAATTGGATGTGGAAACTATCAAGCAATATAATTAATATCACATGCAAGCAAAATACTTCTGAAGATCATAAAAAAATGTCTAGAATAGTACATAAAAAGGGAACTGCCAGAAGTTCAAGTGGGATTTAGAAAAGGCTGTGGCACTAGGGATATCATTGCTGATGTCAGGTGGATCCTGGCTGAAAGTAAAGAATACCAGAAGAATGTCTATTTATGCTTTATTGACTATGCAAAGGTATTTGACTGTGTGGATCATGACAAGTTAATGTCTCACATTGAGAACAATGGGAGTCCCAGAACACTTAATTGTGCTTATGTGAAACCTATGCCTAGACCAGGAGGCTGTCATGCGAATAGAACAAGGAAACACCAAATGGTTTAAAATTAGGAAGGGAGGGTGTCAAGGTTGTTTTCTTTCTTAATACCTATTCAGTGCATATGTTGAGCAAATTATTCGAGAAGCTGGATTCTATGCAGAAGAATGTAGCCTCAGGATCAGAAGGAGACCTGCATTACGCAGATGATACAACCCTGCTTGCTGAAAGTGAGGAGAACTTGAAGGACTTGTTGCAGAAGGTCACGGAATATAGCTTTCTATTTGGATTACATCTCAACATCAAGAAAACAAAAATTCTTATCACTGGATTGATAGGCAAGATCATGATGAATGGAGAAAAGACTGAAATTGTCAACAACCTCATCTTAGTTGGATCCATAATCAACACCCTTGGTAGCAGCAGTCAGGAAGTCAGGAGATGGACTGCACTGGGAAAGTCTGAAATTAAGGATCTCTCAAAATTATTGAGGAGTAATGATGTCAGTTTGAGAATTAAGGTGTGCCTGATTCAGGCAGGCCATGGTTTTTCCAAACACTTGCTATATATCTGATCACTGGAGAGTGACAGAAGAAGAATTGATGCCTTTGACCTGTGGTGTTGGACAAGAGCGCTGAACTACCAAAAGAACAAGCAAAATGTCTTGGAATTGGTGCAGCCAGAGTGTTCTTTAGAGGAAAAATGAAAATACTTTTGGCATGTTGCTGGGAGGGGCTATTTCTTGGAGAGGGACACGATGCTTGGAAAAGCAGATGATCAGTGAAGAAGAGGAAGACACTTGACCAGGTGGATTGATAGAGTGCCTGCCGCAACGGGCTCTAGTGTGTCAGGAAGTGTGAGGATGGCACAGGATAGGACAGTGTTCAGATCATTCTCAATTTGACAACACTTAACAACAACAACAACAACAAATGCTCTCTAGCCTCACCCATGTTACATAGCATTTTACAAAATTGTTGCTTCTTAGTGGTGCATAGTATCTCACATGTGAAGCCCTCATCACAGCCTTTGCCAAGGAGTTGAACCAGATTCATAGCTAACCCTCCAGCAGGTTTTCAAAGGCTAGAAATTGCATCAGAGGAGATTGCTTTTCTTTGAAGAGCAATGGGTGGAGTCAAACCACCTACCTTTGAGTTGGCATTCCAACTATGCCACAAGTATGTCATAAATCAGCTCTAGTGTCCTCTTCTAATTGAGTAAAATAATTCCATTTTTTTCTAGAGTAGTAGTTGTGAAGATTCAACAAGATTAAAAAATACACATGAAACACTAAGCCCAGGCCTGATCAGGTTGAAAATGTTCACACCCATTCCTATCCCTAAAGTTACTGAAATCCTCTCTTTTAAATCACACTGCAGATCTGTTCACCCTCTGTGTGAGAGGGTCCATCACACCACATCTTTAGAGCACTCCTGGGCTGGGCCACCAGTGGTGCCTGTAATGCGAGTCTTGTGGGTCAAGGTCATGTGCGTGCAGAGAGGGAGGGAGGCAGCAGTCACCTCCTCAGCACACAGCCCCCCACCCTGCACAGGGTCCATTAGTATCTCGAGCAATTTTTTTCATTAGTACTCTTGGAGAACAGAAGCAACAGTGAAGAGGGTTATATCTGGAATTTATTTAGAGTAACATGACAGCCCAAACTTCCAAAACCAGAGTCATGGCTGTGGAGTTCATGACCCATGGCCACCTTCCACCGGGTCTCGAATGCTGTAAATCTCAGCAGGGGGAGACTGCCCATCTGTCTTCTGAAGCAGCCTTGTGGATTCAACCCACTGGAAGCACACGTGATGTTTTGTTTAACAGCGAAGCCTGTGGTGAGCTCAGTCACCTGGTTCTGACTCTCTGAGGGCTCCTGAAGCCACAAGTGTCATCACAGCACAGTGGCAGAAACAGAAACCCACTGAGCAGAAGGTCTCTCCTGCGTGTCCCTGCAGGGCAAGCAGAGCACAGCTTGTGATGTCGGGAACTCTGTGAGGTTCCAATGTGCCTCTCACACTCATCACTTTGCACTGGTGATAAGACACTTGTGTGGCTGGTAGGACTTCCCTCCTAAGCCTCGCCCAACTCACAGAGGTCCCATTTACGTCTGTGGCCACGTGGCTGACTCCACGGTTGCCAGGGGAGATTGAGAAGCAGCCTGTTTGCAGAGGTACAGATGGGAGGCCTTGACCTGGGCTGGCTTCCAGGAGAGGGCTCCAGAGGAGGGAACAGGCGAGCTCTGGGAAAAGTAATCCCTGAAGGACACAACATCATTCCTCTCTTATCTGGGTGTCTTTCAGGAGTCATGGCCGGCTTCAACATGGGGGGCGACCTCAGGGAGCCTGCTGCCAGCATCCCCCTGGGCTCCCTAGCAGCTGTTGGCATCTCGTAAGTTACTCCAGGACAACCAGGCTTGGAGCTGGTAAGGGAGAGAGAAAACCCCAAGGCAGTGGAGGGGAGTGCCCCTTTTGTTCTGACAGTGCCTGACTGTGACCAAGCTATTTCATATTCCAATCCTCCTTTGAACACTCAACGAGCTGGAAAATTCATGTCTGGTGGGTTCAGACGGTTGCCTTTTCATACCCCCTGCTGCGAATGCTGAGAGGAGGATGGTTATTAACAGGGACCATAGATCAAATCCATTCTTTCCTTTTCCTTCAGCCTCCTGCTTCTCCCCCCACACCCCCACCCCGTTTTGAACTCTGGGGTTTCTTTTTTAACCATTGAGTGCCTAGGATCTTTGAAATGAATAGGGAGATTACCAGTTTTACAATCAGACAGAATAGAATTTGCATTCCCAGCTCTGCCATTGATTGGCTGTGTGACTTTGGCCAATTTTCTTAGCCCTCTAAAGCTCAGTTTTCATATCTGTAAACATGACATAGTAAATGTGTGTCTCACATGTGCTGGAAGATGAAATAAGATCGTGTGTGTGTGTGTGTGTGTGTGTGTGTGTGTGTGTGTGTGTGTGTGTGTAATGGAAATAATGCTTCGCCCTCTACCCTCTCCTCTCCAACTTCTCAATACTTTTAAGCTTCCTGGGTTTTGTTCAGGCTTTGCCACTCAGCCGAACAGTCTTGCCGCCTCTGGGTCTGCCTCTAACCTGTGCTTTACCTTCTCTCTAAACCATGTTGTTGTTGTTGTATAGCATTGAGTCAGAATCAACCCATAGCTGTCCCTCCAGTGGGTTTTTAGAGTCTGTAAATTGCATAGGAGTTGGTAACTCCTTTTTCTCTCAGAGAGCAGCTGGTGGATTTGAACTATATGCCTTTGGGTTGGCAATACAGCTCCTTACCACTAACCATCAGAACACAATACCATAAATCTGTCTGTAAACTTCTATCTTCTGCTTTTCTGTTTATACCACCAAAAGAAGCTTCTCAGGCCTTCATTTGGCATGTGTAAAAAGAAAAGACTATGACTGAAAACAGTAATAGTCTGTGGTATTAACCATGTTTAACCATGGCCTTTAAGAATTGATAATAATGTAATAATTATAATTCTTTAATAAATTAAGAAATAATAATCATCTATTTTACAAATGCCCACTTTACTCTTAGCTTATTGTAATGGCACAGATGCTACCAGCCAAGCATCCTGCACCAATCTTATTTTGTCTTAAATAAGGCAAAAAAAACCTCAGTAAGGAAATGAATACAATAAAGCTAGAGTTGGGTCTTGAGAAGGAAAGGGGGTTTTAAGTGAGAAATGGAACATAGAACTTAATGGATCTGGGGTTAGACTAACGTTCCAACCCCATTTCTGTCTCTCTTGTTCACAGCTGGGGAGGAATGTCCTCAACTCCCCAGATCAGGTCATGTGACTGTTCAGGTCACATGGCAGCCTGAGAGCCGAGCCTGGGCCACTGCTCTGCCTGCTTCACCCTTGACTTCACTTTCTAATGCTTGTAATCCAGACCCCAGCAGGGATTGGAAGTCAGAGAGAGCCCCTATTTGTTGTTCTGTTGGGGGTTGGCTGTAGGTCGTTAGGCCTTTAGATTGACATTGGCCTTCTTGGGCCTCTCACTACACCCCACTCTTCCTTTACAGATTTTCTTCTTTAATGTAAGAAAGAGACAAACATGATACTATTTTTAGAGTAAGAAACTTCTTTAGAGAAGATATGTTTGAAGTGTCCTCCCAGACCATTGAAAGGGCCCCAGGGCTGGCTTTTGCCTCTAATTCTGAGGCAGAGTCACAGGAGACACAAAGCTGGTTGGAGCGGGCTGGGCTGGGCGGGGGAGGGAGAACGGGTCCAGGTCAGCTGGAAGCTCCACTCTGTTCTTGGGGTTTGCAGGTGGTTTCTGTACATCATCTTTGTCTTCCTGCTTGGCGCCATCTGCACGCGAGAGGCCCTTCGCTATGATTTCCTGATAGCAGAAAAGGTGGGTGAGACCTGCTCAGGCCCAGTGGCTTGGTCTACAGGATCATTCTTTGTTTCTGTCAACAAATGAGTGTCTCCACTTGCCCCTCCCGTCCAGAGAGCTATATGGCCTCAGGCCCAGAACTATAACATGGAGGCTCTAAAAAGGCGCACATGCTGCTTTTGGATACCTAGAAGCTGGCAGCAATATTTGGAGATGCAGTTGATTATACTGCGGTAACACAACCATCTCTTCATTTCAGAAATCACATCTGGTCCCTTGAAATTCCAAGCAAACCTTTCATTTTGTCAGTAGCTTCACCTTCCATCATGAAGAACGAAGCAAGAAAGCAAGAAGATGCAGGTGGACAGAGGAGGGGTGGAGAGGTGGGAGGAGGCAGAGAGAGGTGAGGAAGCTCAGCTCTAGGCTTAGAGCGTAGGGTGGATGGAGACCAAGAGGCCTGCTCACTCCTGAGGCGCAGGACTCTATGGCCCTCCCACTGAGTCGCATGCAGGCATGTTGATTTGGCTGGAACAGTTTTGTTTCTAAAGTCTGCTGCCATGCACCCTGCTCTGAGATTAGTGAATTCTTCCCATTCTACAGCAGCAAGCAGGTCATGGGACTTCATTTTGGCATCATTAGAATAAGATTTCCAGATTCTTTTCAATTAATCCCCTGAAACTTGTGTTGTTGTTAGATGCTGTTGAATCAGTTCTGTCTCATAATGCTTCATGCACAACTGAATAAAACCCTCCCCGTCTTGTGCCGACCTCACAATCCTTACCGTGTTCGAGCCCATTGTTGCGGTCACTATGCCAGTCAATCTGATTGAGGGTCTTTCTTGCTGACACTGTACAAAGCATGATGTTCTTCTCCAGGGACTGGTCCCTCCTGATAATATGCCCAAAGTATGCCAGGAAATTAAAAAAACATACTGTGATGGGAAAGTCTGCTGTTAGGGATCTCTCCAGGGTACTGTAGAGCAATGGTGTCACTCTGGAGACTAAGGTGCATCTGATACAGGCTATGGTCTTTGCAATCACTTGTTATGCATCAGAGAGTTGGACAATGGCTAGGAAGGATAGAAGGAGAATTGATGCCTTTGAGCTGTGGTGCTGAAGAAGAGTATTTAGGGTACCATGGACTGCCAAGAAAACAGAGATTCATCCTGGAAAGGGTTAAACCAGGCTGCTCCTTGGAGGCAAGGATTCTGGGTCTTCGTTTGCCATACTTTGGACATGTAAGGAGGGACAAGTCCTTGGAGAAGGACGTCATGCTTGGTAGGGTGGAGGGATGGCGCAAGAGAGGAAGACCCTCTATGAGGTGGATTGATTCAGTGACTGGGGTAATTGGGATGGGTGTGTCAGAGGCAGTGCGATTGGCACAGGACAAAGCAGAGTTTAGGGCTGCTGTACATAGGGTTGCTATGAGTCGCAAGCAACTCGACAGCACATAACAATAACAACAATATGTGAAATAAAGTATTGCCATCTTTTCTTCTAAGGAATATCTCACCTGAATTTCTTTCAAGACAGATTTGTGTGTTCCTCTGGCAATCCCTGATGGATGCAGTATTTCTCACCAACACCAACCACAATTCAGATGCACCGGAGCTCATTTAGTCTTCTTTATGTATTGGGCACTCTGGTAGCCTTGTGTACAGGGAGTTGCAGTGCTGACCCAAAGGCAAACAGAATCCACCAGCTGCTCTGTGGAAGAAAAATGGGTGTTATCCTCCTATGTGATTAACAGCCTCTGACAACCTGCTGGAGGGACAGCTGTGAGTTGATTCCAACTCAGCCAAGATGAAAGTGTGATTCATTGCCCAGCTTGGATTGGGCTTGAATCTGGTCAGTCTTAACCTTCTAAGGGACATCTTTGCTTTTTAATCCTTACAGGGAGCTTTTGCAATAAATTTACCTAGTGCAATAAAATGTAATTTCTTTTTTAAAAAAATATTGTTATTATTTTTTGTGTGTGTACCATCTTATCAGATTTGACTGGTACAGGAGGAGATTGCCCCTCCTTCTCTAGCAGAGCATCTGGTGGATTTGAACCATGTGACTCTGGCATTGTAGTGCAGCTTCTTGCCACTAGGCCACCAGAGCTCCAATAAAATGTAATTTTTTAACTGCTGCTGCCATATGTTTTGATTGTGGATCCAAATAAAGAGATAACTTCAATGTTTTCTTTGTTCATCAGGAAGTTGTTTATGGGAAGGTCCAGCTGTGAGGGTTTCTTTTTCTTAATTTGGAGGTTTATTAGGGAAGTAACAAGTTACAGTTCACTTAGAATCCAATTCCTCCATCAGGATAGCTTCTACTCAGGCCTGATTACAGGCAGGCCTTGCTGCTGTGGTCCCTGCCTTTCCACTTCAAGCCCTGTTTTCTCTCGTCTCTGGGCCCTGCCTCCTGGCTCTAGGTCCTGCCTTGCAGCTCTGCAGTATTGTAAAATTATTTTAGTTTTTTCTGTTATATGCATCCCTTTCTTCCCCTCCTACCTTTTCCTAGTACACCTAGGCTAAGGCGGTTGGCTGTGGCTCCATAGAGCAGTGATTCTAGTTCAGCACTTTGTCACAACAGCCACACTGCTCCTGATGCTGTGTCTCAGCCTCAAGCTCCAGTCTTTATCTAGCTCCATCTCCTGCAGGAATCTCTGGCCCTAAAGGTACACTGCAATCTTTGTTGCTTCCTTCGTGGTGACAGTGAGACTCCCCTAATTGTGAGGATTTTTGTTTGGGGTTTTTATTTTTTATGTTGAGATATCATCAATACCAAAGTCTTTGATCTTTATCAGCAAGTGCATCAAGTCCACTTTGCTATTAGCAAGCAAGGTTGCATCCTCTGCACATTGCAGATTTTTAAAGAGCAAAAGCCCCCTGTTCTGTTTGAGTGACTGCTTCTTGGTCTATGTATAGATTGTGTATGAGCACAAGGAAGTGTTCCTGAATTCCCATTCTTTGCTATGATTGTTATGATTCACACAGTTGGATGCCTTTGCATTCTCTGCGTTCAGTCAAGATCCATTTGACATCAGCAATAATATCCCTTGTTCCACATCCTCTTTGGAATTGAACTCAATTTCCTGGCAATTCCATGTCAATGTATTGCTGCAACAATTTTTAAAAAGGATCACCAGCAATTGTACTGTTGCATGATGTTAATAGTATTGCTTGATAATACCTGCATCATTTTTCTTTGGGATGGGTTCAGATATAGATCTCTCAGCTGGTTGGCGAAGTAGCTATCTTCTCATTTGCTTGGTAAACAGCAGTGAGCACTTCCAACATTGCACCCATTTGCTGAAACCTCACAGTTAGCATTCTGTCAATTTCTAGAGCCTAGTTTTCTCCCTTGCCTTCAATGTAGCTTGGGCTTCTCCTGTTAATGCTGTCAGTTCTTGATGAAATGCTGTTTCTTGAAATGACTGAAAGTTGTCGTACTATTGAGTTACTTTGTATTCCTTCCATCTTCATTTGATGCTTTCCACATTGTAAAATATTTTGCCCATGGAATCCATCACTATTGCAAGTTAAGGTCTGAATTATTTCTTGAGTTCTTCCATTTGAGGAACACTATGTGTGTGGTATTTTCTGTTCACTTTTAATTTTCTGACTTGTGATCTTTGCACATTTTATTTTAATACCTCATTTTCTCTCCTTGAGCTGTCCCTTCAATCTTCTGTTCAGCTCTTTTCCCCCCTTCCACTCTATTTTTATTGTATATTAATTTACATATAGAATTCATATACAGTGTCCATCATTCATGTGCAGTATATTTCACACATTCCTACACTCATTGTGTTTCAATCACTCATGTGCATTGTATTTTATAAATTTAATCATAAAACAATATTACTCACCATTAATGTATGTGTTAGCTTCCTTACATCATTGCTTCTTCTATTTGCTTAACTACTCTATGTTCATCAACAAGCTTCAGTCTTCTTTTGACATCCACTTTTGATTTTCTTCCTTCCTCCCTTTTTTCCTTTCCTGTATTTGTAGTGACATTTATTTTTAATGTTTTATGTTCTCAATATCATCCCACAACTCATCTGTTTTCCATCATTTCTGTTAAATTAATAAAATCTAAACTTGCGATAGTGTAAATTCAGGTGAGACCTACTCATGGTTGTTCTTTGACTCTCGTGGACATGGTTTTATATTTTTTTAGCTTTAGATTGAGCTTCATGTGAATAGATGATGGTCTGTTCTTCAGTTAGGCCCTGATCGTGTTCTAATTGAGCTTCATCACTGTCTTAACACGTTGTAGTTGCTTTGATTCCTGTGTATCCCACCTGAGGAAGTCAACATGCGTAGTTTCCATTTTTATTGTTAATAAAAGATACTTCGAGTAGTTGCTAAGGCAATATGGCAAGAGAAGGAAACAACAGGCATCCAGATTGGCAAAAAAAATGGTAAAACTGTGGCTATATGCCAATGATAGGATAATGTATACAAAAAACCCCAAGGACTCAACAACAAAAAACTGTTAGAGCTAGTAGACCAGTTTAGTAGAATGGTAGGATACAAGATCAATGTATAAAAATCAGTGGGATTCCTCAAAGTACCAAAGAAAATACAGAGAAGGAAAATAAGAAAGCAGTACTATTTACAATAACCAACCACAAATTGAGATACTTATGAATAAACCTAACTAGAGACATAAAAGACCTATACAAAAAACCTGCAAAACACTTCTATGAGAAACAATAGAAGACCTAAATATATGGGAAAATGTTCCCTGTTAATGGATAGGAAGAATTAATATAGTGAAACTGACAATCCTACCCAAAGCAATCTACATTTTTAACACAATCCCAATACAGATATCAAATTCCTTTTTCAAGATAGAAAAAGCAATTCTCAACTTTATTTGGAAAGGAAGGAGACCTCAAATAAGCAAAGCACTTCTGAAAAACAAGAATGAAGTGGGAGGCATAGTACTCCTTGATCTCAAAACATTCTACATAGCCATAATAACCGAAACAGCATGATACTGGTATGATGATAGGATATA